TTTCTTAATAAATCTATAGTATTGGAAATGTTTCTTTATACCAAATTTTTTTCTTCAATAACTTGTATTGTAGATTGAAGAATGTACAACAATAGTTCAAGATGTCTGTGTCCGTTTCTCTACTGTTATGCAAGTGTTCGGCTTAATTTGCAAAAATTAATAACCCAAAGAATATCATAAGGCGTCTTTCATTAATATAGCTATGTAAATCAGTTTTGATTTCAATAACGTGTTGATGCAGTGGTACTCAGTAGGGAACTTTGATATGAGACCCTTGTATATAACGATTGTTGGCAAAAATAAGAAAAAAAAATGCATTTTCAAAATATATTACGAACAAAAATATATTTATTAATGTATCTAACTTTTATTGATTTTTTTTTTATTTATATATATATATATATATATATATATATATAGGTGTATATTTCACATATAAATTATTTTTTAATATATTATTATTTTTTTTTTAATTTAACCTCATATATTTTTCAAATAACAAAATAAAACGAAAAAGAAACTTTTTTTTAACAAAATATATATATATGTGTATATAATCAAAACAAAAATAAAATTAAAAATAAGAAATTAATTTATTTAAAATTTTTCATTGTCTTTATACAAAAAAAAATAAAAAAAAAAATTATTCAAAATAATAATTAGAATATTACAAAAAATTAATTAAAAAATAAAAAAAATATTTTACAAATTTTAATTTAGTATTTAAATTTTATTTAATTTTAATTATAATTATACTTTTTATGTACATAATATGTATATGTATATATATTATATATAATATATTTACTTAAAGTATATAGTAATTTTTTTTTTTCATAAATTTTCCTTCATATTCTTTTGAAGATATTTTTGTCAGCACCTTTATTTTATTTAAAAAAAAAACAAATTTTCCATAATTTTTTTAATTTATATGTGTACAAAATTTAAGGTATCAATGTGATAATTTATATATATTATATTCATACTTATACCTATATGTATATAGTATAATATATTTTAAATTTCATTAAAAAATTTATTTAGTTTTTCTTTTATACAAATTGAATTTTAATTAATATTTTCTATAATTACTTAAAATATTTGAAAAAAAAAAAAGAAAAAACAATATTAAGTAGGTTAAAGGTAGCACATCTAATATAAGTAAGTAATTTTTACATATTATTACAAAAGTATAGATTTAAGACAGAATCTTCATGCTAAAGAAGTTTTAACTATGTACTTGTTTTAAAAGATATAGGCCATTATCTAAAGGATAATGTTCATATAAATGGGTATAATTGTCATACACATAATGGTATGTAAAGTTTTATTGAAGTAGATTGATTTTTCCATTTATAAAGCAAGAACCGACAATTGACATCTCATGAATTATTTTACTTATTCTTTATTTCATTGCCTTTCTTCTCATTTTCTCACTCTTTCATATGCAAACTTGCAGCAGCTCGAGAATAATTCCGTGACATTTTAAAATTGTTACTTTTCAAAGTAAGCATGAAGTTGGAAGGGCAAAATATGCAAATTTTGGGGAAAAAAATTTTTAGTTATTTAACATATTAATAGGATCCTATATAATATAAAATACCTAACTGAATCCAGTCTAATGTAAAATAGAAGATGTTGCAAATACGTATGTTTAAAATATGTTTATATTTTTCTTATATAGTTTTTTTTTTTAAATAGTTTAGCAGGATTTTTTGGAAATATAAAGCAACTTTAAAATAAAAAATCCGGATTATCAATCAGGATTTGTAATACTGTTGAAAGGTCATAGTTTATTCGAAAATATTTGACAATTATACCGAATATATAATTTGTATGTAATTATGTTTTTTGTATGTACATTTTTTTTTGTTAAATAATTTACAGCAAGAAGGTAAAAATCAATGTTAACAGTTTAAGAATTAATTTCGCTTTGTTTTTACTTTAATATTATCTATTTGTATTTGTTTTTTATTTAATTTTATAACTCTTTTTTTTTGTATTTTTGTTTTTATTTAGTTTATTAAGTACATAAAATTATATTATTAATTTTTCCTAAAAAAATGACTATTTATTTTTAAAATTTTTTTTATATTTTTTTTTATTAATATTTTTTTTTTTCTTGAATATGTTTGATTAGATGAAAAAAGTAATTTTTAATAAAAGCGAAGTTTTTATTTTCAATTATTTAATTTTATATTTTGACAAATAGCTCTATTTCTTTCAGTCATTCAAAATGATATTTTTATTTGATATACTTTAAACAGGTAAATTAAAATTATTTTTTTCATATAAGATAAATTAAAAATTAAGTATACTGGGTGATTCAGTAACAAGTTAGAAGCCATCAACGGTTTCGAAAGAATCGAAAATGAGTAGAATTTTTGTTGGGAACATAACATAGTGTCAAATCGGAACCGTTTCGGAGCTACAGGAATTTTAAGAAAATTTGAATAAATTTAATATATCAAATTTTTTTTGCTTCATGCAAACGTTTTTTGAAAGGGCTATTAGAGGCCTTTAATAAAAGTAGAGCAATATTTTGTTTTAGACGTTTTTCGGAGCTTGTTACTGAATTACTCTCTATAAGACAAATTGATGTGTTTTTTATTTTTTGTAATATTATGTATTTAATATGTTCTATATTATCATGTGTGTTTGTATTACAATATTAAATTTGTTCTATTGATGTATCAATGACAAGAAATTATTTTAATTTTCTTTGATTTATCTACACATTTAAATTTAAAATTAATATTGCAAATTGATGAAAAAAATTAAAATTTATTTAAAATCCTCAAAATATAAAATTCTAATTTTAATATTCAAGTCGTTTAAAAGTTTTAATTATGAGGAATCTCGATATAGTTAGCTACCTTACAAACTTTTAAGAAAAAGAAATTTCAATTACCAAAAAATACAAAACAGACCTTTCTAAAAATGAAGTTTTAGAAATTATAGAATTTGTTATGAGTGTTATAACAATTTAATTAATAATAGTTTTTATTATTGTTCAATAATTTTAAATTTATGTATAATTTTGAATATTTCGAGGATTTTATGTTTTTTAGAACTTATTATTTTCGTATTGGAAAAACATTGCGTTTGCGGTGAAATTTTTATTTATATTTATTAAATATGTATCTTTAAAAGTAGCTATTGTTTACAAAAAAAAAACTGATATTTAAATTATTTAAATTATTGTATTATTTTATGAAATATTGTAAGTATTGCAATTGGTATACTACACAATAAATGCATATATACTATAAAATATTTTGATTATTTAAAAAAAGCAAAGCTTATAAATTATATAGAAAAAGCATATATAATATTTGTAAGTATATGCTTAATTTTAAATTACTTAATTTTCACTAATAGTATAAAAAGTTTAAAGGAAAAATCATTACAACTTATACATGTATATATAATAATTACATTATTTTACAAAATTTTTAATATTTACTATACATAAGATTAAAAAAATTAAAACTAAAGTTAATAATTTAGTTTTGGATTATGTATTTGAATATATTATAAAATATGATTACCCGTACCTTGTAATTTGTAATAAGGAATATATTTCTCGGTTTTAAATGAAATTTTTATATATATGTATGTATATTTTATAACAATAGATTCGATAAGTTGTATCAATAGTAGATTAATAACCTTTGACGATCACACTTTTTGACGCTATAATAAAATTGTTTTCGGCAATTTCCAATAATGTACCATCTATATAAGGATTGAAGTTTGATTCTGTATTATTAAAGTTTAAATTTAAATTCTATATATGACATAAAGTGAGACTTATCATTACAGATGTATTAGAGTATAATTGATTGTTTTTTGACAAACACATGTACATATGAAAATTTTTTTTATGTTCAATGAATATAATTACGTAAATCATAACTTTGCAATATATAATAACGAAATATTTTATTGCCTGGTATTCTAAATGTGTGTATGATTGATTATATCTCGGTATAAGTCGATATTTATCTAATATGTTTTGATTTGTAAATAAATATTTAATATTTAATGAGGTTTAAAAAATTTCAATTTAATCGGAAAAATTAGTTGTAAATATTGTTTATAGCAGTAAATTCCTGTACTTATTTTTTATGTTTTGCGTAAAGTAAATATTTCATTTTTTAAAAGTGATTCACAAAAATTTTCTTTAGGCTATGAAAATATTTTTATTTAGTCTTCACTAATATTCTATTGGCTTTACAAAATTCCATTAGCTGGTGTTCATTCTCTGATTCCTTTGCTCTAAGAATTTTTGTTTAATAATTGATATTTTCAGTGTAAAAAAATAAATAGTACAATATCTCAGTAATATCGTATTTTAGTATTATCGAAAATATATTTCAATTAAATATAAATTTTAAAATTTTATTATTATTTAAAAAAAACGGCCAGCCATATGTAGAAATAATATTCAAATACATAACATTTTATTCATTAATTTGTGCTTTGTCATAATACTATTATAGTTTTGTTAAAATATTTAATTAAATACTAGTTTTTGTTGTTTACTATTTGATTAGTTTATAGTTTTAGGCTATTATGTATAATTGTTTGTCAAAAGACCAATTCTATATTATGTTTTATTAGTATATTATTACTTATATTGTGTTATTAGAGATAGTATACTCTCAGGCTAAGAGTACTATTTTAATCTATTTTAGCACATTTTATGAACAATAGAAATTATATATTACAATATTATATTTTTAACTTTAGTTTTACATAAATTTGTACATAATTTACAATGTATATATATCTATAATTTTAAAAAGGAAAATTTACATGATTTTGTTGTACTTATTATTAAAAATAATTATAAAATAGTGTATGTAGTAACATTTTTTTAGTTAAAGTAAAAAAAAAAAAAATAAAATAGAAAACAAGTATTTATAATTTAATCCTAAAAAAATAAATTTGATTTTTTATTTTACAAATAGTTATAAATTTTAATTTAATAATTACTTTTAAATTATTTAATATTTTACTATTTATATACTATTCTTATGAGTTCATTGTTTCTCAATTTTACAGTAATTATAAGTATATAGTTATTTTTACATTATATAGGTAAAATATTTTTTGCATTTTAATTTTCCATTAATTTTATTTTTTGTATAGTTTTTTTGTTTTTTTTTTTTAAAATTTCAGGTAACTTGAACACTTTCGGCAGATTCAATTTTAATTTTTTTAATTGTAGTTTCACAATTGTTATCATCCTCATAATTCGATAATGTAGGTGATTTAATATTTTTAATATCTTCAATTTTAATATCAACATTAGTATTATTATTTTTATTAACATTTAAAATGTTGTTGTTATTATTATTGTTTGTATCATCATTTGTTTCATAATCTTTATCATTTGTAAATTCTTGTTTAATAACTACGTTATTAATTTTACTACTATTTTTATTTTTTTTAATAATATTGTTTTCTATGATTGTATGATGATCGTTAGTATCATCGTTATCATTATCGTTATTATTACTATTGTTATCGTTAATAATATTATTGTTGTTTGTTTCGAGAGATTTTCTTTTTCGATTTTCATCACATTTTATGTACTTTGGAGATGGTAATTCTTCATCAGCTATTGAAGCAGCTGATGATGAAGATGATGCTGAAGATGAAGCTGATGATGATGATGAGGAACTAGTTTCATTATTGCGATGGTTTTCGATAGTTTTATTTAAATCTTCTTCATCAGGTAAATTATTTTTAATACTTTTATTATCATTATCATTGTCATTATCATTATTATTGTTATTAGTACTAGTATCATTATTGTTATTATTGTCATTATTATTATTATTATTATTATTATTATTATTATTATTATTATTGTTATTATTATTGTTATTATTATTGTTATTATTATTGTTATTATTATTGGTATTATTATTGTTGTTATTGTTTCGTTTTAAATGACTTCTTAAAGTAAGTGGTAATGTTACTTTTCCCATGAATGATCTAATTTCATCAAAAAAAGGTTCATCAACGGTTGATGTTGCCAGAGTATTTGATATATTTACATTGGAGGTAGTATTTGTTGTTGCAATTGTTTGTAAATTTTTATCATTGTTTTTATTGTTTATATTACTATTATTATTATTATTGTTATTTTTATTGTTTGTGTTGCCATCATTTTGCTGTGATTGATGTTGTTGTTTTTGATGATGATGATTATTATTATTATTACTGCTATTGTTATTATTATGATTGAAATTCAATGATGAATTATTATTTGAAATGCGACTGTGCCTACGTAAACCACGTATTCTTTCATCTAGACCTAAACCTAAAGATGCTGCATCAGCTTCATGTTTTTTCAGGTGCCGATCCAAATTTGTTTGTTGACCAAAGCATCGTTCACATAGCGCACATTTAAATGGTCTCTCTTTATTATGAATATTTCTAACATGACGTTGTAAATTACTTGATATACTAAAGGAACGTTCACAATATTTACATTTATAAGGTTGTTCACCAGTATGAGTTCGCAGGTGGCGTGTTAAGTTCGCAGAACGTGGAAAAACTTTTCCACAAAATTTACATACATATCGGTCTTTGTTCTTAATATGAGCAGGAGTTGAATTCTTATTATTGCTATTATTATGTTTGCCACTGTTGCTATTGTTATTATTATTATTATTATTAGTATTACTATTATTATTATTATTACTACTATTTTTATTATTGATATTATTATTATGATTATTTAAATTACCGTTGCTAGTATTGTTACAATTAATAGGTGTAGTAGCCTCTCGTTCTTTGATATCATTAAGTTGAATATTTGATTTATTTGACGAAGTTGCCGAATTTAAGTTTCTTGGGTGCGCATGAGTTCCAGAGTTATTTATTGAGGGATAATGAGAATGATTTTTTAAATTTATGGAAGGGCTACTTTGTTGCCTTTCTTGATGAGGTTGAAGCTGCTGTTGTTGTTGCTGTTGTTGATGAGATTGATGATTGACAAGAGATGAAACTAAATGTACAGGTAGTGATTGTAAAAGATCTCGATTCGTTGATGTTGGTGGTGGCAACAAATCAAATGTATTTGTTGTTAGCTGCCTTGTTGCTGCGTTGAATGGATTTCGATATGGTAATGGAATTCGTGCCGCCTTAGCCATTGCCTCCATTGCAGCTAACATTGATGGATGTAAGGCAACATGAGGCGGAAATAAATTTGACATTTGTTGCTGTAAATTTGCTGCTGCTGTGACTTGAATATCATCCTTATAAGATAAATTATCTATTAATGAATTATTGCTATTACTATTATTATTGTTATGTAAAGAAGATGTGTAACGCTCCGTTGGTGATAAACCTTCGAATTTACTTGAATAATTGGAGTTAATATTATTATTATTGTTAATATTGTTACTTAAATTAAAATTAGGTCTAAAGTTATCATTATTGTTATTTTGATTCCGTTGCGGTTGAAGATGATGTTGCTGATGACGAAAATTATGTGATTTATTTGCTATACGATATTTATTATTATTGTCATTATGATGTTGGTTATATGGGTGCACATAAAGATTCTTTTTGCTATTAGCATTTAAGTTTGCATTATTGAATGTAGAATTAATTGGGGACTGTGATAATTGTAATCTTAAATTAATATTTGAATATGTAGATTTTGATGATGTTAGTGGTAAAGGTTGCTGTTCTTCATTCTTAACGTTTGTGTGATTGGCATCAATCATAAGTACATTGCTATTTTCATCTTCTAAATTTTCACCTTTTATATTAGTTTTTTTATATTCTAATCTTAAATCGAGTGGTTGCTCAGGTGTTGTTACTAATGAGTTTTCAGTACCTTCTATTCCATTTAATATTTTAATATTTTTGCCATTTGTATTAGGACAATTTATATTTGAATTCAATGTGGGCGATGTTAATCTAGTTGGAGAAGATAAAGAACGAGTGGCGGCCGTAATTGATAAATCAAACGGAATATAAGAATTATAAGGTGATGTTGGTATTGATGTTGTATGCTGATTATGATTATGATGTTGATTGTGATTATTACCTAACATCGGGTACACTGAACCCTGTTTTGGACTAGGTAACATTTTCCTTGGCGAATGGTCTTTTTCTCGCATTATTAGTCCACCATTACTTTATTGAATATACCGGACCAGTGTTGAAATGTTCAATGTTGTCGAGTAAGTGGCGTGTTCAATTTTTAATATTTTTAAGATTATCTTAAATTTATCTTAAAGTTTTTAGATGTAGGAATGTTTTCGATCAATTGTAAGTTGTGGTGTTTTGAGATTTCATAGAAATTCATTAACTTCAGATTTTTTTCTTTATCTAAAAATAAATAAAAAATTTAAAGTAAATTATTAATTAACATTGAAAGATGTAGGGTCATAATACATATAATAAATTTTTTGATAATAATTAATAAGTTTTAAAAGTGTATGTATGTATATTTACGTTAATTTTCCAAAATTTATGCAAAATTTTTTTATAAACTATTTGCAGAAACTCAACAACAGTTATAAAATTATTTGAATTTATAACAAAATTCGTTGCATAATTTAATAAAATAAATTGATTTTATTAAATTTTGCATATATTTAGGAGAAAAGCAATATTTTTACAAAAAATTTGCAATTTTAATAGTAGCTATAACTATTAAAAAACTTAGTTTGTCTTATAAGAAAAAACTTTTTTTTGCTTGATTGAAAATATATAAGTATAACTTGCGTTTAGAATAAGCGCAAAAGATAAAATTTTAATACAAAACAAATAATATTTTCAAAAAAAAGTTTAAACAGCAACGTTTTTCTTCGAACTAAAGGGGAAAAATTATTTTTTATATGCGCCAGACTTGAGCTGCTACATCGTCAAGGGCAACTTTAATTATAGGTTTGCTTTAGAGAATTTAGAAATGATGGACGCGTTTTTTACCAGATCAATGCGTATAGCCTATATGCATTTATTTGTGCTGATCTTTGTTCTCTAGGTTTTTTAAGTGACTATGGGAGAATGGGACAATGTACACTGGAATAAGAGTAGAATATTATTGGAATTTGCAAATATTATTCTGAAACATAAACAGTGCGTTGGTTATTTGTTTATTTACTTTGCTTAAATACCTTTACTTTATTAAAATTATAATATTATAGCCACAACACTTTTTGTTGAGAAATCTATAAGAACTTTGGCGTGAATTTTTCAAATGCCTTATCAATTAATTATTTTTATTAATTTACTGTATCAAAATGAAATTGTTCTACAACTAAAGCCTATAGTCATAGGCTTTTTTTAACAAAAAAAAAATATTTCGTACAACTTTTTTTTTATTTATTTTTGTTCAGATTGTCAAGTATTTCTCTAAAAACTAAAAATTGTCAAAATAATGTCAAATTATGGTTTACTTACAAAGAAAATGAAAAACGTATATGTATGTATATTTGTATGTGCGTCATGTAAAATGGAAAAATTGTGAGATTTTAATTAAAACAATGATGAATTCAACAATAAAATTATATGTTCGGTATACCGTATGTCTTCTATATACTTTTCGACCCTATAATTATTTTTTCATTTTGGAAAAAAATTTCAATTAAGAAAGTTAATTATTGTGAATTTTTATCATAATATTGGGTTCATCTTTTATGTACTTAGAATAATTTATTGAAATCCTATAAAATTTACTTGTCATTAAATCATTTTTGAGTTTAAAAGTATGTACTACATCCAATTTTTTTTCATATGAGTAATTTATATTTTGTACTATAAAAACGTTAACAATCAGGCTTATTATATCTATATATATATATATATACATTAAATTAGACAGCAGTTACAAAAATATTATGTTACTTAAATTATGGAGATTGAATAGAAACAAGTAATTTTTATTCACATGAAATTAACTTCAAACCTATGTAGGATCTTAAGTAGATTAATTTTTGTATATATAGAGAAACATATGTATGTGTGTTTTTGGAATAGAAAATTGTGTTGAAATAATTTAAGATTTTCCTTTTAAACTATTTTCTACTAATTCTATAAAATTATTATACAAGACTTCTTTTTATTTTTTTTTTTATTTTCAACCATTGTTTAGTGAAAGACAAACGTATAAGTAAGGGTCATCATGATTTTCTCAAAAAATTGAAATAGAAATTTTTTTTGAATTCAATTCAAATTTGTAAATCATTTTGTCATTTTGTAAAATCACCTATACTTATAATGAAATTTGAACAAATCGCTCTAAAATAGTTTTTAAAATTTTGTATAGTAAAACTTTGAAATTATAAAATCGTGCATAAAATTCTTCATTTTTTTTTATTATTTTATTTGCAGTATATGCGATAATTTTTCACTAATACATGAGTTTATTATTTACTTTTTGTTTTGTATTCGGGATAGTTTCAGAAATATTTTGAAAATAAGGTGAATTAAGAAAATATTTTTTTTGTTAAATATCTTTTGAAGGTTTGACAACTTCGATGTATTTCAAATATAAAAATATAAATAATTTTTTAGCCAGTTAAAATGTAAGTTCCAAAAACCACCTATTCAAAAGCAAACAAATTTGTGTTCCACGATAAATTAAATTTATATATGAGATCAAAAATTTATTAAAAGAATGTTCTAATTTTCAATCTAGATCAACAAATTTTAAGATATTAATACAGTTAGTTTCGCTGCACAATTTTCATTTTAACAGATACAAGGTTTCAGGTACGCATAATTTCGATCGTATTGTGAGTATTCTCTTTAAATTCAAATGTTCTATATATTGAACTTCATTCATATATTGTCTGCATTAGGGTAGTTTAAGTAAGATAGCTAAAACTTTGCCTTTTACAATGAAGATAATATTTTCAATATTGGCAATTCAAATGTTGCTGTAAATTTTTAACGTATATTAAAAAATTTCATTGATTGAAGAAATGTAAAATTCACCTGTCTTCTTTTTTATATTCTCCTACATTGTTTACATCTTAAAAATCGTGGGATTTTTTTAATATTTTTATGAAAGAGAACAAAAACAAAACATTTTTTTTTTAGAAATACAATTATGAATAGTAAAAATTTCATACTGCTTAATTAAATAATTCGATAAATGCATTGAAATACTTAAGTATAATTTATTGCTTTAAGTAAAATATCACGAATTTAGAATTTAAATGAAAAGTTGTACAAACTATGTAAACATTATTGTAAAAAAAAATGACCTTGAATAAATTGATTTTTATTTTAACGCATTTTAATTTAGAATTTATGGCAGGTATGAGTTTTCAAAACTAAAGAAATAGGTTAAAATGCAAATTAATTTAAATTACATGTGTACATATGTACACTATGATATACATATTCGTATATATATAGCTTATCGAATATCAATTTATATCAGTCAATTTTATTTTTTAAATCCATCACTTGTTGCTCTGCGAAATATGCACAAATTCATAAAATATTTTAGAATTAATGGGAATTGGACAATGTTATATTTTTTCCACCAAAAAAAAAAATCCGTGGAAGTTTTCATATTTCAATAACTGAATCTAACCCCCTATTTAATAGAAAAGTATACCCTAACTTTTACTTTATAAAAATTATTTAATCAGGATGACAATTTGTATTAACTGCTTCGCTTGCAAGATTGATTTATGATAAAAATTTCGGTCATCGCAACAAAATAAAGTCAGTCATAAGAGTCTTTGTCAAGTGATTTAATTTTAATGCCCTCAATATATCATAGTTCCCTTAATATAACGTGTTCATTTAAACTTACCATAATATTACATATTAAAATTTTTATCCTACTTAATGCACATCATTTTTATTCAACACACCTCCCTTTTATTGAGTATATTGACTATAACAGTTATTTAGGTGACTAAATGGCAAAAATAAAAAAATTAGAATGAAAACAGAAAAAATTGTGAAAAAATTCGATTATAGCTCGTTACCGAAAAAAGAAAATCTAAAATGTGAACGAAACTATATATTTTTTCTTAAACAGATACAACATTTAGCACGCGTATATAATTTTTTATATCTTTATAAATTATAAGCACGAAAAAGAAGCGAAATTCCCTAAAAGTGGTTGAAATGCTCCTGTTTCTTAGGTGAAGAAATTTTTTTGTTTTTATACCCTGCACTTCGTGAAGGGTATATTAACTTTGGTATGGAGTTTGTAACTACTTGAAGGAGTCATCTGCGGTATGGACATATATATATATTCTTGCTCAGCGTAAAATTCTGCGTCGATTTAGACATGTCCGTCCGTCCGTCCGTCCGTCCGTCCGTCCGTCCGTCCGTCCGTCCGTCCGTCCGATCGCACGATAACTCAAAAACGAATAATGCAATCAACACCAAACTTTCACAAGTTTTTTCTTTTGTGCCAAGGACGAACCCTATTGTTATTGGACTAAGTCGGACAACGGGTTCGGGTAGCTGCCATACAACTCTAAGAGTTTATTTTAAATATTTCAAAAACTAATAAAGCTATAAATATAAAATTTTGTATACATGTGTCCAATTATATTCTACACATGCTCTAAAAATTATAATGGGATAGCTGCACCGGTTCGGGTGGCTGCCATACAACTCCAACAGCAAATTTTTTATATTCGGCAAAATAATAAAGTCGGATTCATGAAACTTGGCAGTCATGTGTCCAATTATAGGTCAAATATATTTCTGAAGTTTTGGAGGAATTGCTTGACAGGTTCGGGTACCTGCCATACAACTCCAGAAGCTAATTTTAAATATTTGGAAAAATAATAAAGTCAGATTCATGAAACTTGGCAGTCATGTGTCCAATTATAGGTCAAATATATTTCTGAAGTTTTGGAGGAATTGCTTGACAGGTTCGGGTACCTGCCATACAACTCCAGAAGCTAATTTTAAATATTTGGAAAAATAATAAAGTCAGATTCATGAAACTTGGCAGTCATGTGTCCAATTGTGGGCCAAATATATTTCTGAAATTTTGGTGGAATTGCTTGACAGGTTCGAGTAGCTCCCATACAAGTCTAAAAGCTTATTTTAAATATTTGGAAAAATAATAAAGTCAAATTCAGGAGACTTGGCAGTCGTGTGTCCAATTATAGGTCAGACATATTTCTAAAGTTTTGGTGTGATTGCTTGACAGGTTCGAGTAGTTCCCATACAAGTCTAAAAGCTTATTCTTAATATTTGGAAAAATAATAAAGTCAGATTCATGAAACTTGGCAGTTGTGTGTCCAATTATAGATCAAATATATTTGTGAAGTTTTAGTGGAATTGCTTGACAGGTTCGGCTACTAGCCATACAACCCTAAAACTTATTTTACATATTTGGA